TATATATAATATATATATATATATATGTGTATATACATATCTCTGTGTGCTTACAAATGTTGTCTACAACTAGTGCTAATTAGACTAAAATAAGAGAGGCCGTTAAAGGTGTATTGCTATTTCTGCAGGAAGTTTAAAAAAGTGTAATTCTCCTACTCCAGATGTGCTACTGTATATTAAATGTTGTGTTTTAATAGTCACTGTGGTATTTTTACATTAGCTGTTTTATTATAAGTCGATATCCAGGCTCTAGAAGACGACTGGACAAGATAATTGAATGTATTTGTTTCATTCTTCACTGTCAGTGTCCTTGAAAATTGAGTGCCGTTTCTTCCTTCAAACTTTGATTAAAGCTGAAACAAAGTGTAAGTCATTGCAGTTTTCTTTCATTGTATTAATGAGCCTGTATTAACAGTTGACCCCAAAATTTAATTACCGCCATTATTTACTAACCCTAATTTTGTAACTGTACGTGGTTATTTATTCTGTGGAACACAGAAGTGATTTCTTAAGAATCATCAAAAACTTATTTTTCATAGTGACAACTATAGTTAACTGTGAAGCTGACAAAGTGAACCATAAAAGGAGTCCATACAAATCCATGTTCATTCATGTCTTCTGAAGTCATACAGTTTGGACAGAATTTTCATTTCAGGGTTTTAATTCACTGTTAAACTATGCCATGACTTGTATCCTGCTGGCTGTTGGTTCCAATTTTTGTTGTATTATCTGGACAGCTGCAGACTTCATTGGTCCTTTCATGAAAGTACATGATTCCCTTGACCCCATCTGTCCAAGACAGGCTGAACCGTGACTGAATATATAAAGATGTCTCTCCAGTATCTCTAGTGCATGACTGTGAAAAGGGTTTCAAATAATCACAGGGCTATGGCTAAAAAATGCAAGTTTATTTTCAGCCTTATTATCATGTTCATTAAATATTCAAAAATATTTAATATATGTCTTATTGTCTCTGGTGTTACAATAATGAGGGTGCTGCTGATGAAGCAAACACTGTCTTTGTTGTTGGTTATTTGAGCTTCGTGTTTGCAGGCAATTAAAGCTGAAAACAGGCCACAACATTAAACCAAAGAGCTTCACAAAAGATGCCCAATGTTCTTTCCAAAATCCAATATGAAGATGCCAGTCCAAACAACATGAATCGAAGAAAAGTCTATATACAAAAGAGTGATCATTTTAATTGTTTAAAATTTAATGCCTGAGAAATAGTTTGTGTTAATGTGACAATTGCTGATGAATGTGTGCACAGCGGCAACAAATGAAAATTTATCATCAACATTTAATTAGTCGCATCGCATTTCTTCGGGCGTGTCAACGTTAATGAAGGAACTGGATAAGAATAACATGTTTTCTGTGGCCAGGGAGATTGTGAGATGATTTGCTAGAGGTCTCGTTTATTACATGTACAGTATATTTTCAGAAATGTATTTAATTGGAAGTCCAAACAACATGAATCGAAGAAAAGTCTATATACAAAAGAGTGATCATTTTAATTGTTTAAAATGTAATGCCTGAGAAATAGTTTGTGTTAAAGTGACAATTGCTGACGAATGTGTGCACAGCGACAACAAATGAAAATTTATCATCAACATTTAATTAGTCGCATCGCATTTCTTCGGGCGTGTCAACGTTAATGAAGGAACTGGATAAGAATAACATGTTTTCTGTGGCCAGGGAGATTGTGAGATGATTTGCTAGAGGTCTCGTTTATTACATGTACAGTATATTTTCAGAAATGTATTTAATTGGAAATCACTTTTATTTACTTTTCCACAATATATGACATTTGAATATCAACAAAAATTATTATAAATAAAATGTTTGCAGATTGAAAGATCTTAACGGAGGTATTACAGTAAAAATGACATAAAAGAAAACCAAAAATATAAAACAAACGGTGAAAAATATGTACTTTTTTTCATGCTAACAAAAACAAGGCTCAACAATATAGATGATGGCCCAGGGTCAGAGTAGGAGAGTTTCATAAAGGTCACTTTCCTTTTTTGGGTTGATGCTCCGTTGTAACCATGTCTTACATCCGAAAATCATGCATTTCCATACATTTGAAATATCGTGGATGTTTTGAATGTTGTTCATTTAGCTGATTTCAATATCACCAAAGGTAATGCTATCTCTCTGGCTAAAATAAATGATTTGTTGAAACTGCATGAAATATTTTTCAATGCTCTTAGATCATCTTCTAAACATGTTGAAAATTATAATCATATTTTTGCATGGTATGCCATTTTATGCTATGGAAATGAAAAGGTAATTGTGACTTTTTATTTCACAATTTGGACTTTATTTCAGAAATGCAAGATATAATCTCAGAATTCTGAGTTTGTTATTGCAGTTCCAAGTTTACATCTTGCAATTTCTAAATTTACAATTCACAATTCATTATTATTATTATTTTCGCCTGTCTAGAATAAAAATGGAAAAAAAGGTAATCGCAATGTTTTAGCTCACAATTCTTATTTTTTCTTGCAATTGAGAGCTAACATCTTGCAATTATGACTTTTTTTTCTTAGAATTGTGAGTTTATATCTTACAATTCTGACTTGAATTCAGAATTGTAAGATAAAAAGGTTATGGCTGTCATATCTTATTTTGCAAGTAAAATAATGTTTAAACTCAATATTGTTGAGCCCTGAATATGGTTTTTAGTGTTTATAAAAGCTTACAGAAAATGTAAAATTGCATTTCAACCAGAATAAATGAAATAAAATAATTTATTTAACCATACTTACAAATAGCTACATGAATTGAATGCAGCCAAGACATCTAAACAGTCCTTTCAATTAAATTTACTGTAAACAGAATCCACTTGCTCTGACTTAAAAGAAAAAGTTCACCCAAAAATGAAAAGTTGTCGAAAATATAGGCCATCCAACATGTAAATGAGTTTGTTTCTTCATCGGAACAGATTTGGAGAAATTTAGCATTACATACCATGCCCACTAATGGCTCCTCTGCAGTGAATGGGTGCCATCAGAATGAGGTTCCAAACAGCTGATAAAAACCTCCCAATAATCCACAAGTTTCTTACAAACACGCAGCTTTTTGTTTCAAAGTACATTAATTGATGGACTGGAGTGGTGTGGATTACTTGTGGATTATTTTTATCAGCTGTTTGGACTCTCATTCTGACGGCACCCATTCACTGCAGAGGATCCATTGGTGAGCAAGTGATGTAATGCTAAATTTCTCCAAATCTGTTCTGATGAAGAAACAAACTCATCGACATCTTGGATGGCTCGAGGTTGAATAAATTGTAAGCAAATTTTCATTTTGGGTAAACTATTCCAACCAAATATTACAGCACATCACATAGCTGTACATTAATTTTCTGTAAAAAGTATCACTTTACATTTTTTACGACATCATGACAAATTTAATGACAACAAACCTTTAGACGACATTTGAAAAGTTCTATCGATACACAACACCACTTATTGATTCTCACAGATGCTGTGTAGAATCTGTGTCTTACTCTGATAAAATGGTTTCACTTCTACGGTCACTTTTAGCACAGCGCCAGGCAAGTCAACACTTATTTACAATTATTATAAAAATCATTATCTGCCTGTGTGCACAGGTCAATGGCTTTAGATACTTCCAGCGAGTCAAACTCTGTATTCGTGTTCAGTGTTGCGATTTAGTAACCTTGTTATACTCAAATCAGAGAATAAGAGCTTCAATATGAAACAGATTCATATACAGATTTCATTCCTAAACCGCTGCTCAGATTCTGCTGGTTCTGTATTGGTTCCGTTTGTTTGAAAGTCAGTCATTGAAAAGCAAATTGCCCTTTTGGTTTGGTCAGACATATGGGCAGATGGTATCACCGTATACGCTGTGATAAACAGTCACAGGAAATCAGTTCACAGTACTGTGGAGAGTTCATGGCCCTGTCCGCAAACACTCATCTCATCTTCCTCAGACGAATTCTGTTCTCCTTGTCCCGCTTCTTTAACGTGCCGATGAACTGGGTGAAAAACAGCTCCTGGTCTTTCCTCTTCAGTACCTGTTTAAACCGCGGATCGCTTCCATACTTTTCCGAAAACTCTTTGAACATCGACCTACGAAAGAGAACATCAGAATGAGATCCTTGACAATCATCCGATGTTTTACGTCATCAGTGTGATGGTCCACTATTGTTCAGCTGTAAGAGGTCTGATTGCGGTTGTTTTCATGGCTAGACTTTCTCAAAAGAGGAGATCCTGCATGTCTTCATTCTGAAGTACAGGTGAAAATACATGAACCCGCCCAGAGCATTAAAGCAGTAAAGCACAATTTCACCAAGAAACATTCTCATTTTGATGCATTTGTTATCTTCTGAAATCTTTAACTAAAACCTTTTTCTAGGGGATTGCAAACTGGTTGCTAGGATGTTGCTATGATTTATCTAGGGTGTTCTAAACACATATATATATGTGGTTGCTAGGGTGTTCTGGCTGGTTGCCAGGGAATTGCAAGGGCATTTACTAATAACTGGGGCAAGTTGAGTTGCTAGCGTTAGGGGTTAAGGGTAAAGCAAGTTTAATATTAGTGTTAGGGGTTTTCAAAAACCTGACTATAAAGATATCACTCAAGTTTTGTTTCCTTGTGAGAACTTGTTAGGGTGTTCTAAACACATATATATGTGGTTGCTAGGGTGTTCTGGCTGGTTGCCAGGGAATTGCAAGGGCATTTACTAATAACTGGGGCAAGTTGAGTTGCTAGCGTTAGGGGTTAAGGGTAAAGCAAGTTTAATATTAGTGTTAGGGGTTTTCAAAAACCTGACTATAAAGATATCACTCAAGTTTTGTTTCCTTGTGAGAACTTGCAATGAGAGCATGCTGATGTAACGGAGGCCAGCTAGTAAGAGCTGTGCAGGTCACTCCCCTGATCTCAGGAGGTACACTAGTAACTGACGCTAGAGGCTGCGGTTCGAGTCCCGCTTGGAACATTCCAGAACCACCTGCCGGAAATGCTGGTTTGAGTCCTGCTCAGAGCAAACAGGTGGGTTACATTGGTGCCATGACCCGGATATAGGGGAGTGAGTATAACGGAGGCCAGGAAGTAAGAGCTGTGCAGGTAAACCTCACTCCCCTGATCTCATGAGGCACACTAGCAAATTATGCTAGAGGCTGCAGTCTTAAGTGTCCATGTTAGTGCGCCCGCCTCACATCCTGGAAATGCCAGTTCAAGTCCCGCTCGGGGCGAGTGGGTGGGTTACATTGGTGCCGTGACCCGGATATAGGGGGGTGAGTGTAATGGAGGCCAGCTAGTAAGAGCTGTGCAGGTAAATTTCACCCCCTGATCTCAAGAGGCGCACTAGCGACTAATGCTTTAGGCTTTGATCTTTAACGTCCTTGTTAGTGCGCCCACCTCACATGATGGAAACACCAGTCTGAGTCCCGCTTGGAGTGAGCGTGGCAAGTAGAACTGGAGCAAAAGCAACATTTTGAACAAAAAGCGGAGAAAATCACTTTTTAGTCAAAATACTACATCTGGATCAGATTCAAAACGATGATCAAAACATAGATGGAGTAGATAGTTTCCATCAACAACCCTAAAGTTTGCACGGTCCTAGACAACTTCCTGAGACTGCATTTTATTTAGGCAGTTTTGATTTCTAAGCTGTTTAATGTTTGATGATCTTGTTATTTTACATATGCATCTGCTTTCATATGCAATCCCTTGTTTCTGCTTCTTCTTCACCGTGTTTTGATCCAGACTTTCAGTACTCTTTTCAGAAGATGTGTAATGATGCCTCTTACTGTATATCAGTAAAAACACGGAAAGCCGAAAAATGGTGGGGAAAGAGTTAATGCCAACATATACATAGATGTATATCATATTTCCAACTACTCATCATCAATTATTTAAGATGATCTCTTCTTAAAAATATATTGTTTAGCTTCAATAACAGGAGCTGTGAATGTGGTAATATTAGTGCATTGATTCACTTCTCTTCAGTTCCTTTCACTATAAATTAATCAGATAAAGATAAGTTTTCTGTTAAACCTGCAAAGAGGAAACGTCAAACTGAGTCTTAATCCCTGTGGCATGTTTGAATTCACTTCTGTGTGAGACCTTTAACAAGAAACAAGGTTATCATCAAATACACAAACCCAAAGAAACGAGGACCCAAACTGCAAAGACCATCAGTTATTAACACCTTTGCTGAATAAATAATCCGCTCTAGAGACGGATTTTATTAATGCATCAGCAAAAGCAGTCACACTTATTTCATAAGCTCACCTGGATGTGATTTTTGATTCCTCCAGCAGTTTTCTGTACTCTTCTTTCGCTTGCTGGAGTTTGCACTTTTTCTCCTTGTGCTCCTCTTTCATTCTTGCTTTGACAAACTGATCATAAATCTGAGGAGAAAAAAGTAGTAGTGTCATCTAGTACAGATTTTTCTGTATTGTGTGTGTGTGTATATATATATATATATATTTTTTGTATTTTTTTTTAATA